CACACACACACACAAACACACACACACACACATGATTGGGACAGTTCTTGTGACATTGAGACCAATATCATAGAATGACTTGAGCAGTTGAGCCTCCTATGGTGCTCCGTTCATAAATTGACGGTTCTACCCCTGACCACCCCCCTGCACCCCTAACACCCTCCTTGCACCCCTAACCCCTGTCATTCTAAAATTTCAATTTTTACATGTTTGGTTGTAGCAGAGAGTTTTGGTGAAGGAGACTCAGCTTCACTTGATAATGAAAGAATTGGATGGCTTGAAAGTGCAGCTGAAGAGCACAGAGGCCACGAAAGCGCAAGCGCTGCGGGACCTACAGAAGGCGAAGAGAACGCTCCACGACCTCACCGGGAAGCTAGAGACCGTGTGCGAGTCAAAGCAAGCCGCCATCGAGTCAACAGAAGCTTCAAAAGCCAGAGCCAAAGACCTCGAGGCGCGAAAATCTAGCCACCCGGTCGTGGGCCCGGAAGACGCTTGGAGAGAGCAGTACAAGGCCTCAGCTGGGGAGCTTAACTGCGCGAAACAAGAGCTCGCGAATCTGAGGCAAGACTTCGACGCGGTTCTTGAAGCCAAGCTTGCTGCTTTCCAAGAAGCTGCTGATGCTCATCACCTAACCCTGGTTAACCGGGAGAGGGCGAACCAGTTCGCGAAAGAGGTTTCGACTCTGCACCAGACGTTAACTCAGGTTAAACTCGCCCCCATACAGGCTCAGGAAGAGAATGCCAAGCTAAACGCCGAGAGAGAATCCCACCTACAGAGTCTGAAAGTAGCAAAGGAAGAAGCAGACAGGAAACTGAGTTCCCTGAGGGAAGAATCCGACCCTGAGGCGACCAGAGCCATTGCAGAGAAGCTCGAAGAAACGAACGCGACGATCGAGGTTTTGCGTGAACAGTTAAACACTGTGAAGGTTTCAGACATGGCAGCCTGGAGAGACGCGGTTTCAGAACGGGACAATGCAGAGAGGGCTCTGCAGGAGGTTCTCTCAGAAGAAGAGTCTTTGAAGAGACGGGTCGATTCCCTGAGGGTAGAAATGGAAAACACGAACAGAATCCAAGTCGAGTTGAGAAGCAAGGCGGAGGAGACGGATTCGTTGGCTAAGAGGTTGCAGGTTGAGCTTGAGAAAAGCAAGGAGGAGCTACAAGAAACCATGGAAAGAATCACAAAACCAGAGGAAGAAATGAACTCAAAAATCCAAGAACTGACCTTGGAGGCCGACCGGGCAAAGAGAGAAGCCGAGGAGATGAAAAACAGCACAGAAATATTCAAGCAAGAGGCCGAAACTGCCCGAGTTGAAACTCGGGCAGCAGAGGCTCACCTGGAGATTGCTCTAAGAGAGGCCGAAGAAGCGAAAGCTGCACAAAGAGTCGCAGACTATAAAATCCACAGCGCGTCAAAAAAGTTCGCCTCTGATGAAGACGAAGAAAAACAAGAAAAGGAAGAAGAAGTTGTTGGTTCAGAGCCAAACGGTGGGATAAAGTTGTCAACTGAGGAGTACGAATCGCTGTGCAACAAAGTCGAAGTGTTGAAAGCCGAGGCCGATGTAAAGGTGGCAACCGTAATGGCTCAAGTGGAGACGATCAATGGGAGCGAAAGGGAGCTGCTGAAGAAAGTGGAAGAAAGAATGAGGGAGACAGAGGAGTTGGAAGCTGCAATAGAAGATGCTGCAAAGAGGGCAGAAGTAGATGAGGCTGCAAAAAAAGTCGTGGAAGGCGAGCTGCTGAGGTGGCGCCTTGAGGAGGGGGAATCCTCTCGTGGCAAAGAAGATTCCGATTGACGAACTTGAGGAAAAAATTGGAAATCTAATGCAGTAGATGTATACATGTTTGTAACTTTGTATGAATGCCAGCATTTCTGCTGTAGAACATGAAAAGTAGTACATGGAGGTGTTGTTTGGTAAGTTTTTGTTCACTTCTTTTGAAGTTAGTTCTTTGCATAAAGAGTATTACAATATCAACTTGCATATTGCCATTATATGTAATATTTAATGAAATATACTAACAAAACAGGCTGCCAAAAATGTTCAGAAATTTGAGAAGAAAAAAAGAGAAGAAAACTTTTGAAAACAGAAAATCTAAAACTTTTGCACGTGGCAGAAAGTTTTCAACGGTCTCACAAAAACGAGGGTCTAGGGAGGCCGTTTTCAAGAAACCCCCGGCTCAAAAATAACAGAGTGGACAAAAAAAGAAAGAAACCACAGTAGCACAAACGAAGAACTATCATAGACAAAAGAAGCACAAAGATGTGATTTTTCACAACAAATTATGCTACTCAACCAGCTTATACTCTTTTTAAGTCTGTATTTCAATAGTTTGAGATGGACGGGCGATAATGTCTTTACACTATCCTCCAAGAGCTATCACAGCTTGAACAAGAACGACGTAACACCCTACATACACATCTCATGTTACTCACGTGGCCAAGTCGAATATCCGACTCATACGTTAGTTTACATGTTTATATATTACTCTGCAGTATACATTTTATCGGAAAATATAAGTTGCGTCTTATGTAGTCATATGTATTATGTATCACTGTATAACTATATGATTATGAAGAAAGGACCTGTTAGAGGAATTGTACAGAGCTTAACTCACAGATCAATTCAGGTCTTCGAATGAGTCAGAAATGCCATCTTTTTTGTTTCCAAGCTTTTGTAACTCAGATGCCATAGTCTTGACAAACTGGGTTCCTTCGGTTTCGGTCTCGGGTAAATCAACATGGAAAGAGCCTTGCTTTCGCGGACCGAGGGGTTCGAGGAGTAACGACTGTTTCTTCATGTAATTGTAGTGTTGTTGGTGAAAAGGATGGTCCAAAGAGAAGCAATTATCGCCCGCCCCTTCGGTGTACCTGGATGATCCGGAGCCTTTTCTACGGCAAAAGTGAGGAAGAGAGGAATACTCCATTATCTGTGCCAAACATGAAATGAGCATATGACCAAACAATAACAGTCTGTGTGGTCTGTGCACAGCTTGGGGTCATGGGTAACCCCAAAATGTTAGGGTTACCCTAGAAACTGTTTTGGAGTGGGAAAAAAATGTTACCTTCAATAACTCATCTTGTCCAGAGCCTGATAACACGCGAACTTTTTTCCTCGTTCTCTCGTGGAGGAGAGGTCTGACGACCTGATTATAGTTACACAAGGAAATAATCGGGATTTAATCCAGTGGGAATTTACCCCATCAAAAGCCTAAATACATCAACCAAAAGTAAATAGGCGCATATATAGGAGAACATGGAATCTGCGTTAACCTTCCAACAAGCCGAAAAAACATATGGTGCATTAACAATGTAGTATGTAATTGTCCTCTCTGGATAATTCAGGTCATCAATGGATGTTATCAGAGTGCCTAACTGCACATTCAAGAGAAGAATAAAACAACATTTTTCAACAGATTGCAAAGTATTCAGAACTTGTGGATGAAATGAAAGAGAAAAAAACAGATTATACTATATTTCCGAATGAACCGAAAGACAGATAATGAAAACATGAAAGTTAAAATTAAAGGTTTTTTTCAAAACCGCCAAACAACACCTAAAGAAACATGCTAAAACTCATCATGTACCTTTATTTGGCTCAGAGCTGAAAGTTTCAGGCCAGACATATCCAAAACCTTGATGCATTTGCTAATCTGTGTCCCATGCTTCTTGGATGCAGAGGGCTACAAAAGACCCTACAAGTTAGAATATGGCTCGATGAAAATAGACAACAAAGATTATTTTTTTTGTGCTTACCAGAACTACACGGTCCCTATACTCATTCATCTGAATGTGAGACTGCACATAGTAATTGTCCTGTTTTCAATATTCAAAAAAAAGATCTACAATAAATGCTTGAACGGAGTAGATTTAAGAAACATAAAACTAACAACAAAAGGAGCTGTGGGTAAGAGAGATTGTGCAGAAGAAATCACATTAAAACATACGGAGTATATAACAGGACCCATCAAAAAATGAAGGAGAACTTGTGGACAACACACTTGAATTCTAATGCATATAATTTAGACAAACCACCGAGGCTTTGTTTGGAACACCAAAAAAATTGGCTGCTATGTCCCCTATCATTTTATGGGTTCCAAACGGACCCCTAAAGAAAAAAGATAAAAAGAAAGATCATCCATCATTACCGATGCTTTGTCAAATGTGCTGAGACCCACACCAAAAGCGAACACCGGAAGGCCCTAGAAAAACCAGGAATCAATTAGTTCAAGGGTAATAATGCCATAATGGCATGCAGTATTTCAGCATCTCCGAGAGATTCCTCCAGTGAGAGATGCTCTATTTTGTGAAGAGTCAACCACTAAAGACTTGTCTCCAACAAACACTTCATTTTAACTTTAAAATTTGGGGAAATGGTATTCACTATCTAAACTCGAGGAGCCAAAACAATTCCCTATATAATTAATGCATCAAACACAATGACCCTTTCAAAGATAGTTTCTCTATATATTACGAATACATAAAATGCAATGCTTTTTATGCTCTTTATTTGGGAAAATAATGAGAAAATTTAGAGAGTTTGCTGAGATTAGTCAAAAAATGTTACTCTTTAAAATCAAAGAGCCTCTTGGAGATGCTCTTGTACTCGTCTCCTAAAACGATAACATTATTTGATTAGGCAGCACTAAAGAGCTAATTATGGTATGAATAAGCACCTCTCTCGTGTAACCAGACAGTCCAACAAGATGCGAATCACGTACGTCTCTGTAAAGATCAGCAGGAACTATCGGTTTCTGTAATTAATAGTAGTTAGCAGAATCAGAATACACAGCTAATGTGTTAGCAATCACAGGTGAAGCATTAGTAGTGCTTGAAAGAAACATTAAAAAGTCTGCAGTGTTGTTTATTTGTTCACAAGTATTCAATCAGAGAATACCATTTTGATGAGGAAAAAAGATCTATATAAGGACCAGTTAAAAATTCTTGAAAAAATAAAACAGCTTGCAGGACCATGATTTATTCTGAGGCTCTGTTTAGTAGCTAAATTCATTTCTTTCTATTTGTTCTTCATATTAGTGGAAGACCCATCGAAATAACATGTTTCCTTTCAACAAATTCAACTTCTACCGCCAAACAAGACTTACCAAACGGGTCCTAATGACAATCAATACGTACTACTTGTATTAATCTCACAAGCCATAGACTCCAACTAGTCGAGATCAAGATGTTTCCCTTGAGCTATTGCATCTAGTTAAGCATAAATAATACTACAGAGGATTCAAATACTAACCGCTAAAATATCATCAATCTCATTTTGAACCCTCCACTTGAGGCTATCCAGCAACTGTGACAGCACAGAATGAGCTATCAGAACTCAATGACAAGAATCCAGTGATTGTGTATTAATCAAGGGAACTCAAAAAGGCACTTTTGAGAAGAGAACAATAAGTTTGTTCTTACCATCTGGTGAGCCTTAGAAACATTTCCTTCTCTTGCAGATAGGAAGCGTTCTAGAGTTTCGTGTGGATTCCCTTGATGAATATTCTACAAACATGAAGAAAGAAAGAAACATAGCTTATTGTGTTTCCATTATGTGCCAAACAAACAAGTCTTTCCCCACCAATTTTCAAAACAATGAGAATGGACATAGATAAGCAACAAGGACTACATCTCATCATTCTCATGATGGGTGTGTCTCTTTACTCCTCAATTCTTCAGAATCCAATTTGTATAATTAAAATCTTCTATCAAAAATAGATATTAGATAGGGACATCCGGAGATCTAGTATTAGAGTAACTAGATAGATATTTGGGTCTAAGTATGTAGTTTATGATGATGTAATTTTTGCCTTGGTCTGTAGCTTATGTTTGTCTGTTTTCTGTGACTTGGGTCTAGTTGCTGGTGTCAATATGTGTGTGTGTCTTGTGTATGTGCTTTCTTCTACATACACACTTTATTTTTCGTGGAATTTTACTATGTTTATTGTTGTTGTTATCAATATTAGATATTGAAAAGAAATCAAAATTCCTACTTTTCTAGTACAGATCAAGAAAAATGATCAAAGGAAGAGCAAAGAAACCTGGAATGTCCTCTTGAGTGGTTCATCCACTGCCCAAAATCCAGCAAAAACAGATTCAGATGCAGATTTTGCCAGATAGACAGCAAAAGACAGAAGATTTGAGTATTAGTAAGCAGAAATTGAGAGGAAAATGGAAGAAATGAAGGAAAAAAACTCACCTTTTTCCATCAATTTCCCGAACTCATTGATAGATTCTTGAGAAATCAAACACATTTCTTCAGATTCTTCTTCCCCAAGAACTTGCAGACCACAATGATTGATAGAGTTGTGAGAGAGATTGAGAATACAAACAGACCAAACAAGTGCAGGCTAAGCTTTAGCTTTAAATGACACTACTGTTAGCTAAAATCACCACCCCCAAAAAAAATTTGAGGAGGAGAGAAATTTCAACGGAATACAATTAAAGATTCGACTTTTGCTGTCAGGTACAGAGGCTGGAGGGGGGGGGGAGCTGCATGAAGGGTCAAGATTCAAGAGAGGACAGATGGGTCCCACCTTGGAACCCCCTCGGCCCTCCAGTGATTTCATTCATGCCTTTTGGAGAAGATCAAAAAGAACCCAAAAGCAAAGGGGGGAAAAAAGAAAAAAGAAAAGAAAAGAAAAAAGAGGAGTTGGAAAATGGAGGTGGCGCCTCTTTTAGACCTTGACCGATCACCATCTCGTTTGGTATATTCATTCATTCATTCATGGCTTAGGCTTTGCTGTGATGTGCTGTGCGTAACCTCTAGGCCGGGCACCACTTCCCACTCAATTTTAGCTTTTTTTTTTTTTAAGAATCTAATTATACCAGAAAATAGTTTCCCCCATCACACCCTAACAATACTCCGTAGCTCTTAAGGTAGGAGAACCTTTGGCCATATAAACTCATAACCAAATCCCTCATTTAACCGGTATGGACAATGAAATCAGTCTGTATCACATCACTCCTCCTCCTCCTCCTAAAAAAGTCCATGCCCTTTGCCCCTTTCTTTTTTGAGTTTTTTCTTAGACTATTAGTTATGGCAAGTAAAGATATAGAATGAGATACGGTGACGTGAATTATTTCAATTAATCAAGAAAGGTCAAGTCAATATGTGCCAAATGAATGGAGTTTTGTTCTTTTTTACATTTTTTGACATATTTTAATTATTAAAAATTATTTTACTTATCTTTTTAAAAAATGGATGTACTTCTTAAATTCTTTCACATTTTCCAACTTCTTTCAGTTTCTTTCAACTCCTCCCAATGTTTTCCAACTCCTAATTTCTTTTAACATCTAACTCTGAAATTTCAAACTAAAAGAACAAAGCCCTCATATGTTTTGCTACTACATAGCTAGAATTTGTATCTAAATTAATGGAGTCAATTGGCTGGACTTGCACCAATGTAGGTCGACCCCGGCTAAGGCCCTTGGGTATGGGTGGACAAGGTTCCGTGGGGAACTGGCACCGTCGGTTCCCATAACTGTGTCGAAGTCGGAGACGTCTTGCCGGGTATGAGAATTGGAACTCAGAACCAGCAGACACGTGTCCGGTTTCGGGTGTTGATTAGGCGGTAACGAAACTGGCGATTCCAGTCCGATTCCGGTTCCAGTATTATTTTTTTTCTTTTCTTGGTTGGCGATTGGACCTCATAATGAATGAAAAACAACTAAATTGTCGTTATCTAGCCGTTGGGCAAGCGGTAGAGTTATATATATATATATATATATATATATATATATATATATATATATATATATATATATATATCTGTGTGTGTGTGTGTGTGTGTATATATATATATATATATATACTTTATCATTTTTTTAAAATCTCACAACACAAATTTCTATTCTCTCTCTCAAAATCTCTAATCTCTCTCTCTCAATTCTCATCATTTCTCAACTTTCATATTATATAATATATATTTTATATTTTTATATACTATATTCATATATTATAAATATATTATATTGTTATAAATTTATAAAGTATAATATTTTAATAAATTTTTTCCTTAAAATATATTATATTACTAGTATACGTATTAGAATATTATAATATTCTAGTATATTTTATTAATATTTTATCCAATATAAAAAATGCATTAAAATGTCGGGACAGTCTGGTTCTAGTAGACGGTCCATCGATATGGGCGCTGTGAACCGTGAAGGTTCAAACAAAGGCAAAGCTAAAGGCCATGTCACGTCCGAATGTTCTAGCTCACGTGCCTCTCGAGTGAGACACTGTGTCTCGTCCTTTCCTACAATCCCCAAATAATTTGTAGGTGACGCCATAAGTGTTCAAAAGTTTGATCAGTTCATTAGCGATATGGAGGGTAGGAATGATGTCAATCTTCAAACTCTTGAAGATATTTTCGAGGACGTTGAGAAGGCGGGGGGGCCAACACCCGAGAGCAACGATCTTACCAGAGAGGATGACGAGATAGGTGAGCCCGAGTCCTCTGTAGGTCTGGAGAAAGGTAAAAAACTTAACTCTGATTTACTTGTACATCATTTTTTAAAGAAACAAAAACGGCGAAGTTAAAGGGAATTTGTAAACATTGTGGGGCAATAATAAAAGAGGAATTTATCTAAATAGGACTAAAACATAATGACTTTCTCAATATAGGATCATATGTTTTTGTTTCTCAATGTAGGACCATTGGTCATTATTCATTAGTCATTATTCAAGTAAATGTTCAGCATCACTGGACATTATTCCTCCCACTAGACATTATTTAGTCCTATTTAGAAAATAAAAAAGTTTAAATCTTACATTGTGAAATGACTTATGTTTTAGTCTTATTTAGTGCAAATTTCAAATAATAAAAATGGGAATTTCCTGGGGTTATGGTTCGCCGACAAAACACCTTAGAGCGAGACACCTTGTGGAGTACGCCCAAATGATGGCAAAGAAGGGACAAGTACAAACCCAAATTTCTCGTTTTGCAAGCAAGGATAAGGCCGACCTTTTTGCTTATAGCGATAAGCAAAATAAGCAAAAAAATGGCCAAAAGGATTTGCGTGAATAACTGATCATTCATGTTTTCTGAAAAACTTGGATTTATTAAATATTGTCAAAACGTACAAAACCCTCAAGCAAGAGGTTTTTCAAGAAAAAAACAATTAAAATAAAAATTATTAGACAATATAAAGTTGGAAAAAAATTTAGCTAATAATTTTCTTACTTTTAATTTTCGTGTTACTATTTGTTCTGATATTTGGAGTGAAATTTATCATAATTTGTCTTACAAGGGTGTTACCTGTCATCGGATAGATAGTGATTGGATAATGCATAAACATGTTCTTGCATTTCATGATTTCAATGAATCTCAAATGGGTGATAATGCATAATTTGATTGTGATAATGCTACTAATAATACTATTGCTATTTCTAGACTTAAAAGAACTTTGTCCCCTTTGTAGCGCCATGAGTAGATTTCTACACCAAAAGTGTGCAGGTCATGTTTTAAATTGTGTGTTCAACAAGGATATGATTAGTAGCTATGGGGGAATCTTCACCAACATTAAAATTGGTTTAAAATTAATTTGGGGTAGTCGTCTTAATTCTAATGCATAGAAATCTTACCTGTAAATCTAAAGATAAAAACCAAATAACATTTGCTAAGGACATTACGATTAGATGGAATAGTACGTATAAGCTGATTATTGACCAGATCTTGCGGCATAAAGAAGAACTTTTTTCATTTCTCAGCTATGAACTTAATCACTTTATCGATTGGAATGAATTTATTCTTGTTGAAAAATTGAACAACGTGTTAAAGGTTTTTAATAATGTCACTCTTACTTTCTCCCATGACCACGACAAACAAATTTTTTTTAGTGTATTACAATTACTACATGTTTTCGTGAAAGTTAATTTTGTCCAAATTTGTACCCTTATGTGTATCCTATGAAGGATATTTAGTGTGCTTCTTATTTATATATTCCTGATATTTATAAAATTAGTATTATTTCTGATCCACGCTTTAAGATTGAGAATTTTAAAATTCTTATTGAGTATTATTATGGTTGTTTTTTAGGTGAAAATATTTACTTTTATAACGAATTAGTTGAATGGACAAAAGAAAGAGATAATGTTATTGATCTTTTTGAGTCCTTATTTAAAGAATTTCAACTTACATACGTTACTCCACCATAAGAAACAGTTGCTCCTCCCGCGCATCCTGAAGACAAAAAAAGGTTTTAAAGGGAAAGCTGGCGGCCTCTTGGCGAAAAAAAGGTAAGCGTAGCTCTTCGTCGATGAGTACAAGCGCAAGTTTACACAATGATGAACTTGCAATGTACCAAGGCGTTCCATGCGACTACGATGAAGACGAAAACAATACCGAGTTTGACGTCCTCAAATGGTGGAAGCTGAATGAACACATGTTCCCGTCACTCGAAATGCCAGCCACACAAGTGTTATCTATGCTGGTTTCAATAGTAGCTATGAAACAAGAGTCCAGTTCTAATAACAATATTTTAACCGACTACCTAAGTTGTCTTAGTGCTAAATCACTTGAGACACTTGTTTGCAACCGAGATTGGCTCTTGGCAAGGCGTCGAGCACAAGAGGCAGACTACGATATTGATACACAAAATTACATGGATGCAACCACGGAGGGAAGTGATTGTTCTGAGGAAAATTTGGATCTTTTTTAAATTGTAGGTGAGCGATTTATAAGCTCCTTCGAGGGTTTCTTTACGGTTCTTTACCTCGTGGCTTTTTTTTAAACTCTCAGGATATTAAATGTAGTTGGAATATTCAACTTTCATTCAAATAAAAACTACATTATTAGAATTTATAAAAAGTAATTAATTTTTTTACATTACATATAATATTATATTATTCAGATATTAGATTTAGAATAAAATAAAAATAACCAAGAACCGGCCCAGAATCAAATTCGGATATGCCGGTTTTGGAATCGACTGGGGAACCAGCATCACCAGTGCCAGTTACGATGCGACTATGAGGCAGTGTCGGAACTGCCGGATCTATAATTGGAACCGGACTGAGACCGCACTGNCACTGTGTCCAGTCCTACTCATCGGGCATGCACGAAGCCTACACGTTGGATGGCGGGTCTTGTAGCACGGAGGGGACTGACCACGCCATCTTTTTGGTTTTTTTTTTTTTTCTGTTTATGGCCGTTCTTTTTTGCTTCTTCATTTTTTTTATTTTTTTTCCTTTTCATCTACTCCATTTTCATTCTTTAGTTTTTATTTTTTTCACTTTTTGATTTTTTAATTTTTAATTTTTTAATAATTTCTTCCATCTTTAAATCATACTCCGTACTAGATTGTCTTGATCATTTCAGGACTGTCAGTGAGCTTGAAGTTAATTACTCAAAGTCCCAAATGGTTATTGGAGGGACTCAAATCAGGAGGCTAAAGAGGTACTGAAACTCGCTAATATGGATAAAGGGGAGCTACCCTTTAGATATTTATGTAACGCCGTGGAAACTGACCTAGTAGTTAGGCTATATTTATGTAACGCCGTGGAGGCCGGGACTCAAGAATATGAATTATTTGTAAAGTTGTCCGTTTTAAATAAAAATTAGATTTTGGGTAGATCTCATAAAATGGTGACAAACGACATATAATTTGTTAAGTTTGGATATTCGTGTAAAGCGTGATGAGTAAAATAGAAGTTACAGTTCAATAAATAAATATAAAGATTTCATAATAAAATAATAATATTCGGGAGTATAATAAAATCTAAATACGCGTATTACATGTTTGTCACATAAAAAATTCATACTCGGGAGTATAATACGTGTATCATACGTACGGTTGCATAATATACGTGTATTATACGCGAATAAACTACCATAAATTATTACCAACAAGTGTTGGATAATGATTGATCATACGAATGACTCTACGAATGTGGCCATTAGCAACAAATGTTGGATAATGAGTGCTTATTTCAATGATTATTCAAATTATTTTTCATAATGTCTTATTCTACTTAAATTATACTCCCTCCGTCCCATAAAGTGTTACCCATTTTGACTAAAGTAGAAATTAAGGGAAGGATAATTTTGTGTTGACTTTCCAAAAATACCCTTGATGTGATGGGTAAAAGTAGGATGTGATGTGTAGATTATTAGAAAAAAAGTATGATGTGATAGGTAGGGTTTGAAAAAGTAAGGGGTAAAAGTGGTTTTTTATTAAAAATGGGTAAGAGATTGTGGGACACAATTTTTTTGAAAGGTGTAAATCTTTTTGGGACGGAGGGAGTATAATAAGTCTTTTTTCCTCAAAGACATGACATTTTAAAACTTTCTATGGTCAAGCGTTAGAGTAGATATGACTGATCCTATTTAAAGAAAAATGATATGTTTAAGTCCGTAACAAACAAAAAAAGAGAAAAAAAAGTGAAATTAAAAAAGTAAACAAATAAGAGAAGAATACTAAAACCTTTATTTTTCTAATTGGCTTATGGGCGGTGATTTTACAAGGGTAATTTATCTAAATAAGACTAAAACATAATGACTTTCTCAATTTAGGACTATATATTTTTATTTCCCAATGTAGGACCATTGGTCATTATCTATTAGTTATTATTCAACTAAATGTCCAGCATCACTTGGACATTATTCTTCTCAGTAGTCATTATTAAGTTCTATTTAAGGAATAAAAAAATTTAAGCTTTACATTGCGAAATAACTTATGTTTTAGTCCTATTCAGTGCACATTTCACATTTTATAATTAACAGCATGACTTTATAACAAAAGTTTATTTAATTTGGTACAAACGATGCATGGGTACAAAACATCATAAAACACACACAGAGATAATAGAGAGAAATATATATTGCAGGGATAATATGATATGATATGATCCTTCCAAGCTACTCCGGTCCGGAAGGGATACATACCCGCGGCTTCCGGCGGCCGGCCGGCGGCGACAAGATTATTAGTTCATCAGGAAAAAGATGAACATGGCGGCGGAGAGGAAGAGTGTATCAAGGCGGCGTCCCAACTTGGGATCATTCCAGGGAAGAAGAGTGGAGTGGGGCCAAGTGCTTCCGCTCTTCTTCTTCTTCTTCTTCCTCCCCCCTGAAATAGCGCCGGCAGCGGCCCCGCCGCTAGTGGCTCCTCCGCTGACGGCGATGACTCCGATGAGCAAAAGGACGACGGCGGTCATCAGCATAAAGATTGCGCTCCTCTTCGCCTTCATTTCTTTGTTTTTTCGGAAAAGTTACAAAATTATTTTAATTAGGGAGTAATTAGTGAGTCCTTCATATTCCAGACTTCCAGTACTTATACAGGTGTCCTTCCTACGTCATTTCTCGCTTTTTGATGTCAGCACAAATTTATACTACTCCCTCCGTCCCAAAATATTTACAACATTTGCTTTTTCAGCAGTCGTGGGATTTTTTGTTTATTTCTACATTTTCAATGGTTATTTGATAAAATAAAATATTTTTGACACTTCTTATTTTGAAGAACTTTTCATGTAGTTTTTTGATATGTAAATTTTATTTTGTACTCCATATTTCTTTATCAATATGTAAGTAAAATGAATTGAAAAAACTTGATATTTTACCTCGGAAATACAAGTGGCAAATATTTAGGGACGGAAGGAGTAACAGAGTTATCCTTCCGACGTCATTTATCGCCTTTTGTGGTCAGCAAAAATTAATTATTCTTTTCGTCTTCGGTATATTTTTCTCAAGCACTATATTATATTAATAAAATAAACTTAATTCACTTTGGTTATCTGTTTTATTACTCATTTTATAAAATAATAAATTTTTTACTTCTTATTTTTAGAACTTTTCACGTGGTTTTTTACTAGATAAATTTTATTTTTTAGTTTTACAACTACAATTAAATATATAGAATTGAGAATAAAGTCAGAAGGAAGATCTATGAGGAACGGATGGGTATAATTTTAAATAATCATATACTACTTCTGTCTCTGAGTATTTGTCCACTTTTGACTTTTTCAATCATAATTGGTAAACATTGACCTTAAATTAAAAAAAATGATATTAAATATTGATACAAACATAATTTTATTAGATTTATTGTATCAAATATTTTCAAAATATTATTTCATCTAATTAATTTACAATATATATTTGGAAAAGTTACAAAATTATTAATTTTTTTTGGAAAAGTTACAAAATTATTTTAATTACTGAGTATATAGTACTACCTTGGTCCCTAAATATTATCCTTCCTACGTCATTTCTCGCTGTTTGAGGTCAGCACAAATTTATACTAATAGAGTCATCCTTCATTCCTTCCTACGTCATTTATCGCCTTTTGTGGTCAGCAAAAATTAATTACTCTTTTCTTCTTCGGCACATTTTTCTCAAGCACTATATAGTACTCCCTTCGTTCCTAAATATTTGTCACATTTGTATTCACGAGGTAAAATATCTAGTTTTTTAAATTCATTTTATTTATATATTTGTATAGACATAAAAAATAAAATTTACATATAAAAAAACTACATGAAAAGTTCTTCAAAATAAGAAGAGTCAAGAATATTTTATTTTATCAAATAACCAATGAAAACGTAGAATTAAATAAAAGTTATCGCGACTGCTGAAAAAGTAAATGTTGTAAATATTTTGGAACGGAGGGAGTATATCACTCTATTCTAATAAGCAAGGGAATTATTTTCCCGCCCAATGCACACATCTCCTGCATCGTCGATATGAAGGAACAAACAAGATCTACGACTATGATTGGTTGTGTAATATTAGCTATTTAGAATGATAAATTAAAGGAAATTTTGCATGCATAATCAATCTATTCTGATAAAAAAAGGAAGGGAGTAATTTGTTTCCTAAACAATTTCGCCTAATTACTTGATTGTGATAAAAAAAGAACGGTGCAGGAGATTTTTTACATTTTGTTTCCTTTTTAAATAGGTAATTATTTACACCTAATTACTATTACTACTATTATTATTATTACTTGGAATAATTTACGCCTGATTATTTTATAAAAAAAAGTAATTATTTATGCCTAATTAAATATGTAATTATTTACTTAATCACTCTATTCTTAAAAGGAAATACTTTTAAGAATAATAGAATGATAACAAAGGATAATTCGTGAAAATAAATACGGAGTATAATAATTGGGGACTAAATTGGTAATATTTGATATGTATAGACTAAATATGTAAAATAACATACTCGTATAATTGGGGACCTTTTATGTAATTCACTTTTTTTTTTTGAAAAATGAAAGCCTGGATCCGTGGAGTTTCTCCAAGTTAAGAATTTTCATTTTTCATTTTGGAAAATTAATTACTGCCTTGGTCCCAAATCTTTTGTACGTCCAGTGGGGTTTTGACATTAAAAGTCAATGTCATATTATGCCATCGACCAGGAGGCTAACTTTCCATGTCATGTGATAGATATTGGGCCTGATTACCAATTCATAAGCTCAATAGCACAACCTTAAGATAATATGATAATCTTAATGCTCAATATAATGTTAGCCTTTTGTCTCCTTTAATTTTTGTCATTATCAAAATCTAATACTCCCTCCGTCCCTAAATAGATTACAATTTTATTTTCTCTCTCCTCTCGATAACTTTTGTTTGTTTACGCGATTTAATTAAATATTTGATAAAATAAAATATTCTTGTCACCTCTTGTTTTGTAGAACTTTTGACGTAGTTTTTTAATATTTAATTTTTATATGTTATTGATATACCAATTTATAAATAAAATGATTTCAAAATGTAAAAAATTTTACTCCGTAACCCGCAATTTGTAATCAAATTGGGGACGGAGGGAGTAAGTAATAGGCAAATTAAAGGACATTGTAAAGATAACTATTCATGATACCACATTGTCTGATATTGTGGAGGTTGCAGTCCAAGGGACGAGGTATTTGATCAGTGACTATCCATTCACTCAGTACCTAAATTGGACTCCTTAAGGCTATGTTTGGTTGGGGGTAGGTATATGTTTTAATAGGTAGGTAATTGAAAGTAATAAATCAAAAAATTATGTTTAGATATTTATTAGGTAATTTGAGGTAGATAAAATAACAAATTTACTTATATGCCCTTGTTTTTTTACTAAAAAAATTGTAAAAAATAAAACATAAAAGGGAATAACAGAAAAAAACCCAAAAAACTAAAAATCAAAACCGAAAAAAAAACATAAAAAACCAGGGGAAAAAAATCAAATGTTATTCAATGATTAAAAAAACAGCAAAAAAATAAAAAAGAAAAGAAAACAGCAAAAAAAAAAGTAGAAATCATCCTAAATAGGACTAAAACACAGAGAAAAGTACCAAAATAGGGCTTTCATTTTTTTTCCTGGAATAGGACTTTGCACTGTGGTAATGTGACTTTGCATTGTGGTAATGTGGCAGTGTACATGTGCAAATTACTATACTTTCTTGGTAATGTATATGACCATGTTTGGTAATGTAAGTCCTATTTCGGGAATAAAAACATGGAAGTCCTATTTTGGTATATTTTCAATGTTTTAGTCCTAATTTGGTCTTTCTCCCCAAAAAAAGTGAAACAAGTTGAAAGGGTTAAAAAAAGAAAGAAAACAACAAATTAAAAAGTAAAAAAGAATAGAAAACATCAAAAAAAAAAGTGAAACAAGTTGAAAGGGTTCTAGTGGAGAAAGAAAAGGAAATCGGGGGTGGGAGAAGAAAGCAAAATCGACCGTACCCAAGGTGAAAGAAAGCCATCTACAATCGGCGGGCAGCAGCGGGAGATCTGCGAGATCTACAAGCAAAATCGACCGTACCCAGGGTTTGAAGGCCTGGGGAGATCTGCGAGAGCAGATCCTTCAACACTGCTATTTCGGAAAAGAGATGAGGAGGGCAGCACCGGAAAGAGGGAATTTCTTGTTCGCCAAATGGGCGGTCACAAGAAAAGCATTGTTAAGAGGTAGGATTACCTCCCTCCACCTTCGCTAACCTAACTCGTTTTTCTTCCCAAACGAGGTAAAGTGTAAAAATAACCTCAGCCTACCTCGCCCCACCTCCAACCAAACACTAGGTAAGTTTTATTCCTTATTAAGAATAAATTTTGTGTGTGAATCCATCTTTGCCCTTGGAGTATTATGCACAAGCTTCCTTGTTTTGCTTCTTTTTTTAATTTGAATTTCCTTTACATATTTAGGAGATAATATCAATCATTAACTTTTCCTATTTTTTAGGAGGTAATCACATTTTCTACCCTATTAACCTAGTTCAATTCTTTCATTAAATACTCATAAAATTTTGGGAAAACCCCAATTCACATTTAATTTTGTAAGCAATTCTTATTTCTTTTTTTCTTTTGCACAACCAATTTTCTTCTTTCTTTCTTTGGTTTACTTTTACTTTTAATTTGTATGAAAAATGAAGTGATAGTTTGACCATCACATTAAGGGTATTTTTGAAAAATCAACACCAAAATATTCCTTCCTTAATTTTCCAAAAAGTCAATATGTACTAATCTTTTTAGGACGGAGGGAGTATTAATTATGCGATACTTTTGTATTAATATAATTTTGTGTTATACTACGTAATAACTTTATAATCATTTATGACATTATATCTAGAACCATTATCACAAAAAATTATATTCATAACATTATGGTGTGAGATATTTTTAGTTTTTTACCTTAAAAAGCTTGTCAAGTCCCAATTCTCTTTTCACAATTCACACACATATATAATAAGGCATTTTCACCAAATCTATGACACTATGACATTTTCCCTAGAAGAAATTATTCACCAAAATTATTACTTCTGTAAAAGTGCTACATAATTCTCATAATGACCTTCAAATTTGGACACTAAAAGACCTAATCCTTCCGTTCTAGAATTCTTGTTTTAATTTGTCTTTTGTGGTCTTTTTGATTATAAATTAAATATACTTTTAAATAAATGTATTTAAAATATAACGTAAAATATTTTGTTTATATAATTTGTAGTCAAAGTGAAAAAAAACAAACAATGACAATAAATTTGAAAGAAGAAAAGCATAAGAGATCTTGTTACATATGGTATCTAATATAATTGAATAATGATTAAATTCGTGTTTTTCTTTTCACGCACCGGTAATGGTCATGAAGCCCCGGGGCTTCAAAATTTCTCTCTCTGCCACGTCAGCTTTAACTTACACCCAAAATTCACTGGAAATGGTTTTGAAGCCCCGGGGCTTCAAACTGGGGCTTCAAACCTTCATTTTTTACATTTTTAAATATACATCTTCTAAAATTAAATTTATAAAATGTAATTAATTTATTATTTAATTAAATTGAAACACGAATAAAAAAATACATTAATTAAATAAAAAAACGACAATAATTTAAAAAAACATACATTAATAAAAAAACTAAGGTAAATTATATTTCTCCTTGATCTCTCTCATTCTTTGCTCGTAGATAATTAGTCCAAACTCCGACAACATCCCGGGGTCGGTTTGCATGACTTTCATCTCGGCCTCCTGCTCCTTTATCTTCAACTCCTTCTCCTTTAGCTTCAACCTCTCTTGTTCCTGGAGATTGAACGCCCGAAGTTGTTCAACCATTGCCCGGCCGATTTCGTCGCGGGGAGAAGCGGAAATAGATGCGGACCCTCCCGAACCAGAGGCAATGGATTTTGCCTTCTTTCTTCCGATCGGCCGTGGAATGGGGTCCTCGTCATCGGAAGCCGCAACGTTGAAGGAAGGGATTTGATCGGTAGATCTGATGGTCTCGTCGACCTCAACCTCGGGGTCGACGGTGGATCTTTTCCGGAATGATCCGCCGTCGGGATTGTTGAGTTGTTGCCACTTCGGGGAACGACTCAAAATCCCCCAAAGATCGATGGGCACCTTGCCTTGGTTCCCGTCGTCTTGATATCGGGTCGTGGCAAGCCGGAGAACATCGGCGTCGTTCATGCCGCTCCTCTGGGACCGGGAGCATTCCTCGTATACTCCCATAAAATTTCGTACTTTTTTGTTGATGTGGCTCCATTTGGAAGTGAGTTGGTCCCGGGTTCAGTAGAAGCCGTCCTTCTTCATCGCCGTGAAGAACTTCTCCTCGATACGATCCCACATCGCATCCTTCGTTTGCTCCGTACCTTTAAAAAAGTATTACACAATTTTTTTTGACACCATTAAATATAATATATATAAATAAAAATATAAATATATTAGAAAAAATAAATTTTTTTACCAATGATAGGATGCTCGGAGACGTCAACCCAAGCCGACGCCAATATGCACTCCTCCTCCGACGTCCACTTTTGGATTGACCGTGCCGCATCGGTCAACGTGCTTTTGGCTTTGTGGCTCCTCCGGCGTGTACTTTTTTTCGATCCGGACGGTTCCGGTTGAGTCTCCGGAACCGAATCTCGGTCGACGTACCCCGATTGTTGCGTCTCGTATATCGGCGGTCGATCGCCCCACTCTTAGTAGAACCACATCGCGGCGTCACTCGGGGGGAGATTGTCGGGAACGAAGCCGGAGCCGGAAGGATTCATGTTGAAAATTGGGAGGAGGGATTTGAATTTTGAAATTTAAAAATAAGAAAGAAGAAGAGATTGGAAGGTGTGAGAGATTGGTTGGGAGGGTTGAATTTATAGGAAATTTTTTTTTTTTTGAAATTGGGGTGCAACGGCTTTTTTAGCCGTTAGGAGGGAGCAGCGCCGATTCACGCCACATCAAACGAATGACGCAGCCACCCTCACGCCCGTTTCACACCGGCGGGGGGCGGTGTTTCACGCCCCCGGGGCGTTAAACGCCCCGTAACGCCGGTGGGCGTGAGGGGTATTACCAGTGCTCTTAGCCCTAATTGTTTTCCCAAGAAAAGAGATGGAAGCACTAGGTCAAAGACCTATTTGACTGGTTCCTTCCTTTGGAATTCCCTGTATAATTGGCATGGAATTAAGGATTTAATATCTTTTATATTTAAAAAATATTATATATGGATTCATATTCTTTTGAGTAATACTCCCCCGTCCCACAAAAAAGTTCCCATTTTGATGTATTTTTGGTCAAACAGTTACACGCTTTGAACATAAATTAAATATAATCTTAATAAAGAAATGCTAAAAAAATTTGAGATATCAAAACTAGATCCTAAGATGAATCCAATTATATTATATTTATTTTATAATTCAATATACCTTTCTTACAATTTGTAGTCAAAGCTTGTAAATATTTAACTAAATACTATTTAAAATGAGAACTTTTTTGTGGGACGAAAGGAGTATTAAATTGCTTCGAAGTTTAATTGTGACCTTTTGTTAATCAAACGTTAGTCTCTATGGGACACAATAATCACATATTTAAAATAAAAATAATTCCGTCCAAACATGGATCATATAAATACACATAACACATGATACCATTGGTCTTTCAACTTTATCAATTGTGCATGATTGGTCCTTCAAGTTTCAAAAGTCCATAAATAGTCCTTCAACTTTATGAGTTCTGCACCATTGGTCCTTCAAGCTTCAAAAGTACATAAGTAGTCCTTCAGGTACACGTTAGCCCTTCAGATGAAGTCCTTTTGGCAGTAAAAGTTATAAATGAAATATTAGTTTCATATAATACGAGTAAATTTCACTAGGTACGACTACTCCGTATTATATGGAGCTAGTATTCCATTTAGCTTTTAACATTATATTTACTGTCAAAAGGACCTTATCTGGAGGGCTGGCGTGTACTTGAAGGGCTACATATGCACTTTTAAAACGTGAATGACCAATCGTGCATAACTCATAAAGTTGAAGGACTATTTATGGATTTTTAAAACTTGAAGGACCAATCGTGCACAATTGATAAAATTAAAAAACTAATGGTGGAGTTTAGCATATACTTACAAATTAAATATCTTGACGTACGACATATACTCCCTCCGTTTGGAAAAACCCTTCCCATTTGATTTGGGGGCAAAAATAAGGAAGTGTTAAATTATTAGTTGATTTCCAATTTTGCCCCTGATGTGATTGGTAAAAGTAAGACGTGATTGATAGATTATTAGAGAAAAAGTATAATGAGATAGGTAGGGTATGAAAAAGTAAGGGTAAAAATGGTTTTTTAATAGAAAGAGGAAGTGTTTTGTTGAAAATGAAAAAAATGAAAGAGGAAGTGTTTTTGAGAACGGAGGGAGTACAAATTAAAACCAATGATACATACATCGATACATATTATATTTCACCTCAATGTTCTCATAAATATGCATAGACATTATTAAGTAAAATTTGAGAGTGTTTTAGGGGAGCATGCAAGAGCGCGCGAAACAACATAATTCAACATACATTTGCAGAGATTTTTTTAAGAGAAGAAGAGATACTGCCTTCCGCCGGCCGGCCGGACGGACGGACGCCGGCGACATGATTATTAGATCATGAGAAAATAGGCGAGCAAGGCGCCGGAGAAGATGAGGGTATCATTGTATCAAGCTGACGTCCCAACTTGGGATCGTTCCAGACTTCCAGGGAAGAAAAGTAGAATGAGGCCAAGTGCTTCCGCTCTTCTTCCCCTTATTATTATTATTATTCCCGCCTTTCGGAAGAGTGGCAATGGCCCCCGCACCGCCGCCGCCCTCACCGACTCCACCGCCGCCACTGCCACCCTCACCGTGCCCACCGCCACCGCCACTGCCGCCACTGTGACCACCTCCGCCGCCACCGTGACCGCCACCGCCACCACCGTGGGCGCCAAGTGCTTCAATCTTATAAACATACACGGCGGCAATGAGCAAAAGGATGGCTGTGGTGATGAGTTTTTTATTACTTGAAAAGCTTGCAGGGCTCTTCATCATCATCATTTCTACACAAGAAGAATATTATTGAGGAAGAATATTATTTTTAATTACGAGGTTTTTTTTACGTGCGGTAATTACTAGGGGTGTAAACGGATATTAATCGGATCGGATGTGCTGTTACCAAATCCTCATCCGTTTATTTTTGTCGGATATCAAATTCGGATACGGATCTTGACGGATACTGAAAATCAAAACCGTATCCGCATCCGTCGGATATCGGTTGAATATCGGATATATCCGTATCCGTTCCAATTTTTAAAATCAAATTAAAAAATACTTTATTTTGAAATTGGATTAAAGTTGAACTATTAATCGTATTTAATTAACTATAATTTGTTATGATATAATTATTTTCTTTGTTTTCATGATATCTGATATTCTACGATAACTTCATATGATAAAAAGATATCCACAACACATATATATACACATATTTTTAAATATTTGTATGTATTTTTATGTGTACACATTTATTTTGTATTTAAAAATGTCTTATATTTTGAAATATCAATAGAGAAACAAAATATAAACATAAAAAATTAGGAAAAACTATATATAACGGATCGGATATTCGGATAAAAGGTTATTTAAACGGATGTATATTCGGATCGGATTTTAAACGGATCGGATATACAATTACCAAATCCGTATCCGTTTAGTAATCGGATATCCTTAATCGGATACGGATAATATCCATTTAAAACGGATACGGATATTTCCTCTTTAAACGGATACGGATGCAGATGGTAATCAGATTTTCGGCTATCCGTTTACAGCCTTAGTAATTACAAGAAGAATAAAATTAATTACTGACATAGAAACAAAATTAATTAATGAGTGCCTGAATTTGGTTCTCCACGTTATTTATATAAGGATGCAATCCTGGAATCCTGGGTTTTGAATTCCTCTAAGTTAATTATTAAGATACTTTTATTTTACCACAAGTATTTTTTATACGAGTAATTTATAATTAAACTTTTATGGGTCCCTTCCGTTACTTTTTTTTTTGGGGGGCGGGGGGATTGAAGTGTTTCCACACTGCCATTTGCCATTTGTTACGAACGAAATACAATAAAAACTAGTGTTAAGCGCTTGTCTCGCAGGGGTTTGTATATATTCTAAATTTTTGATATTCTATTAATATAATTTTAGTTGTTTTAATTTTTTAATAGAAAAAAAATATGTTTTAAACTTGTAGAATATATATATTGGTATAATAATTTAAAAACAAAATATTTATACAAAATTAATGGTCATTGAATTAAGTACTAATAATAAAAATGGTTTTAATTAATAAAATACTCATAATGATACATCACTAGTATTTTGACCCGTTCCATGCACGGGATGGTACAAAATTGTTTGTGATTATTCAATATGAAATATTAAAATGACTTTAAAAGAATACAAAAAATAGTAGTGATTCTATGAATCTTTTCCTCAGCATATATTTTAAAAAGCTTGAATTATCGATCTTATAATTCTACAATTCAAAAACACGATTTTTCTCCCCCACATTAATTGAGATTAGCGAAAAAATGATTCCCCGGCCCCACCCCTACATTGAATACAAAAATTGATACATCTCTACTACATTATTTAAAAATAAAATATTGGATTAGCGATCCTATGACTCTACTATTAAAAATATTCATTTGAAAAAAAATTTAAATACAACATTTCTTCTCCCCCGCATCAATTTTGAAAAAAAATATTAATAAAAAAGTAGTGCTACAATGTTTCTTATCCATTAGTCATTATTAAAGTAAATGTTCACCATCACTGGAGATTATGGATATTATTTAGTGCTATTCAGAGAATAAAATAATTTAAGTGTTATTTAGGGAAAATATTTCTTTTTTTATAAAGAAAAATTACTCCTCGATGTATTAAGAATGTTTGAAAGATGAAAAAAGAATTGTTTTTAACTAAGAATCTTTTCAAGGACACTATATATATATTTTCCGATTCATTTCACATATATAATCTTAAGTTCTTAACACGTACCAACATATATGTTAGACATTCATAATTAGTATAAATATTGTTTATGGAAATATTGTAATTTTGGTAGCTACCATTGTGATTCCTAATTAGGTTAGGAATCTACCTTCCTATTTATATACATATGTATTCTCCATATTCAATCAATGAAAGTCAATTATTCTCTTCTCAATATGGTATCAGAGCTTAGGTTTCTTCCACAACCCTAGCCCGTTTTTTCTCTCACTCGTGCGCCGCACGCACGCACGCCGGCGTCTCTCTCTCTCTCTGTTGTTCACGTTCGATCATCAGCATGACAACAAAAGAAACAGATCCGTTTCTTTCACTTCCCAGTGGTTTAAAACTTTTTCTACGAAATCTTCATTCTCTGGTTCCCACAAAATTGGAAGACAACAATTACCCATCATGGTCGTCAACCGTTAAAGCTACGTTGCAAGCTCATAAGCTTCTCGGCTTTGTGGAAGGAACGGAAGTTATGCCATCGCCGACCATACTGGATGAAAAGGCCCCTGCCAGCGACAAAGGGCCTGTGTTAAAGGCAAATCCTGCCTACGATCTATGGATCATCATTGATGCTCAACTACGTGCTTCTCTTCTTGCACTTCTTTCACCTGCCGTACAGAATCTTGTGTATCACTGCAATACCGCTGCTGAAATTTGGAGTCATCTACATCAAAGGTATAATTTGTTATCCCGGACTCATATTTTTCAAACTCAAGGAACAACTTCATAATCTCAGAAAAGGACAATCAAGCATGCAAAAATACCTTGATGAAGCACTGCAAATTGTTAACTCTCTTGCCCTTGCTCGAGAACCTGTTTCCGAACAAGATGTTATACTTAACATATTGCGTGGTCTTCCTCCCGAATATGCATCTCTCAAACAGAATGTTCGGACAAATATTGCCACTGTCACGCTTAATAGTATCTCATCATGGTTGCTTTCCGAAGAACTCAACATCCAACTAGAACAGAAGCTTCAACTCGGTTCATCCTCCAGCTCCTCCACGGATCTTCCAACCGCACTGTATGTCTCCAACCAACGGGGGCGAGGCCGTGGACGCTTCAGCAATGGTAGGGGGGCTGGTCGCTACGGTGGCAGTAACAGTGGCACACGCCCATACGGCCGTCCCGGAGGTCGAGGGCGAGGACAGTCCAGTGACACTACTGTTGTGTGTCAAATATGTGGGAAACTGAATCATAGTGCCTTGCGGTGTTGGAATAGGTTCAATGAAGAATTTTCGGGCTCCTCCTCTGCAGGCACCAATCCTCAAGCTTTTTACACCGCATACTCTACAGATCCCGGTCCAAATTGGCACTTAGACTCTGGAGCATCTACCCATGTGACTTCTGATTTATCCAGATTGCAAAGTCCTCAGTCATATTATGGCACCAACTCTGTCTCCACAGCTGGGGGGCAATCTCTACCGATTTCTCATATCGGCTCAGGTCAGGTTACTACACCTACAGGTACCTTCACTATTTCTAATCTCCTTCACGTTCCTACCCTAAACACTCATCTCTTATCTGTCCACAAATTTACCACTGACAATAATTGCTCTATCCTTTTCACCTCTAAGGAATTTCTGATCCTGGACAACTCTTCCAATCAAGTGATATACAGAGGCCCATGTGAGCGTGGCTTATACACCCTTCCTGTTGTGTCTGGTCACGGCTCATCTTCGTCCAAACCCGCTGCAGCTCCTCTTGTGGCGAATGCAATGACAACAACGCCTCATCAGTGGCATTGTCGGCTGGGTCATCCGTCGTTTCAAGTTACCAAGTCTCTTTTTTCAAAGTTAGGTGTGTGTCAAGAGTCAGATTTATTTCATTGTGAGTCTTGTTCTGTGTCCAATTCGCATAAGCTACCCTTTTCTTTATCTACTACTGTAACTACTGAATCTTTTCAATTAGTCCATTCTGATGTTTGGGGTCCTACCTCTGTTTCATCAAATGGTGGTTATCATTTTTATATTAATTTTGTGGATGATTATACTAAATATTGGTGGATTTATCCTCTAAAAGACAAATCTGAGGCCTTTGGTGCTTTTCAAAGTTTCCAATTTATGGTGCAAAATCAATTTGGCAAAACCATTAAAATTTTTCGCACTGATAATGGCCGTGAATATGTTAATCATAAGTTTGGGAATTTTTTACAACAATTAGGGGTTCTTCATCATAAAACCTGCCCCTATACACCTGAACAAAATGGAGTAGCTGAGCGTAAACATAGACATCTCATTGAAACACTTCTTACCCTTCTCTACACTTCCTCTCTCCCTGCCACATTCTGGGTTGAAGCTTTGGCTACAGCAAATTATCTTATCAATCGTATGCCAAAGCGATCTCTCAAATACAAATCTCCGTTTGAAGCTCTATATCACGTCCCACCTGAATACTCTCATCTCCGCGTCTTCGGTTGTCTTGTGTACCCTCATCTTCGTCATGAGGCGGATCACAAGCTACAACCTCGTTCCAAGCGTTGTGTCTTTCTAGGTTATGAGCCGTTGACCAAAGGTTACAGATGCTATGACCCCTCCACAAATCGTGTCTACATTTCGCGTCATGTTCAGTTCCATGAGTCAGTTTTCTCGTTTTCCCATATAAGGACTCTTCTTCACCGTCCCCTGCATCGTCCTACTTTGGTGTCCTTCCTATCTTCCCCGAACCCTTGGTGTCTAGTCCGCCTCACATGGCCTCTTCCCCTAACCCACAACCCACCTCTCACCGGCCGTAAACAACCAACCCGCTGGTCCCACCCGGCTTCTCCGCTCCACCATACACACCTTCGGCCCCAACATCCACCGTAACCCCTCCTACAGCCACACATCCCTCTGACCATACCCTTAGCTCCACCCCAACGTCGCATATAACCAGTCCCACCCCCATCCCTATTCCTTCGGCCACCACCAGCCCTGTCCCTACTCCTTCGTTCAACACCAGCACTGCTCCAACCCACGTCCCCCTCCCTCAACCAACCCACCCCATGATCACACGTTCTAAACGTGGCATCTTTAAACCAAAACTTTACGCCCTTACCCCTTCTACCTCTATTCCTCCTGTCACTGAGCCTGCAACTTATAGAGAGGCTTCCCAGAATGAGTATTGGTGTCGTGCTATGGATGAAGAATATGCAGCTTTGCTTAAACAGAACACATGGGTTCTTGTTCCCAAACCTAAGGGTCGATCTCCGATCGGGTGCAAGTGGGTATACAAGATTAAGCGCAACGCTGATGGGTCGGTCTCGCGCTATAAGGCACGTTTGGTAGCCAAGGGTTACACTCAGGAGTATGGTCTGGATTACTCAGACACCTTTAGTCCGGTTGTCAAACAACAGACAATTCGTCTTGTTTTTACACTTGCACTGTCTTATGGGTGGCCTCTTCAACAACTAGATGTTTCTAATGCCTTTTTACATGGTGAGGTTGATGAAGATCTTTATATGGTTCAACCACCGGGTTATGTTGACCAACACCTTCCTGGACATGTTTGTAAATTGACAAAGTCCCTATATGGACTCAAACAGGCGCCACGGGCTTGGTATCTCCGACTCTCGGCCTTCCTCTTTGCATATGGTTTTCGGAAAAATGTTCATGATACGAGCCTGTTTATTATGCACAGCACTACTGGTACCCTTATCTTACTTGTCTATGTAGATGATATTATTGTCACAGGGAGTTCGGCCACTTTGGTTCAGCGTTTTATTGCCAGCATGTGCAAGGAATTTCAGACAAAGCATCTTGGTCCTCCGGATTATTTTCTTGGACTGGAAGTTTGTCGCACAGGGTCATCTCTCATCCTCTCCCAACGCAAATATGCTACCGAGCTCCTTCACCGGCCTGGGATGGAGGACTGCCGCCCTTCGCCGACGCCGTTACCTGTACGGCAGACGGACGCAGATGGGGGTGAACAGCTCTTTGATGATCCCACTTTGTTTCGCAGTCTTGTTGGTGGTCTCCAGTATCTCACCACTACTCGTCCTGATATCCAATTTGCAGTTAATTATGTGTGTCAAAGGATGCATGCTCCCACAGAAAATGATTTTCAGAGTTTGAAGCGGATTCTACGTTTTGTCAAAGGAACTCTTGATCGTAGTCTTGTCTTTCAGCCTGGTGATCTTCAGCTGCGTGCTTACTCGGATTCAGACTGGGCAAATGATATGAGTGATGGGCGCTCTATTACAGGATATTTAGTCTATCTGGGACCAAACTTAGTTTCCTGGAGTACAGAGAAGCAGACTCGTGTGTCTAAGTCTTCTACTGAGGCAGAATATCGAGCATTGTCTGCTGCAGCATCTGAGGTTATGTGGTTAACCTACATTTTGGCCGATCTCCGTGTTCCCATTCCTCCGCCTCATCTTCTTTGTGATAATCAGTCAGCAATATGTCTCGCCAAGAATCCTGTTTTTCACAAACGTATGAAACATGTAGGGACTGATTGTCACTTTTTTCGAGAACAAGTCATTGCTGGTACCATGATTGTATCTCATGTTTTTTCTGAGGATCAATTAGCTGACCTGTTGACAAAAGCCCTACCTTCACCACGGTTCCAGAGTCTCGTATCCAAGCTTCCACTCGTTACACGGAGTTCAGCTTGAGGGGGGATGTTAGACATTCATAATTAGTATAAATATTGTTTATGGAAATATTGTAATTTTGGTAGCTACCATTATGATTCCTAATTAGGTTAGGAATCTACCTCCTATTTATATACATATGTATTCTCCATATTCAATCAATGAAAGTCAATTATTCTCTTCTCAATAATATAATTTTACCAAACATTTTTTTCTTTAAAGAGCACAATACAAAGCAAACAAAGTAACACACAAACCTCTTAATAAAAAACCGAGCCTACGGCTCGAACGAGGACGACATATATAATAAGGTGCATATATGTGGAAGAAAGAAAGACACAAACACAAAAAGAGGGATGCATATATAGGGCATGCATCACCATCATCAACAACACACTAGGTGTCATGCATATGCATGCATGCAACTATGTATATATATAAGTTCCTCATAATCACTATATATGGTGTAGGAGGAGTCACGTACGCATGTATTCATGCATGCATGCGTACGTGGAACTCATTTCAAATCCTTGAAGGGACCCGCATTGCGGGTGATATCGGGAACGGCTTCGGCAGGTTGGGCAACCATGCTGCTAGCCTTGGCGTAGACGGAAGATGAGCTATCTGCCCCAGATGGAACAAAAAAAGCACCTCCTACCATCTTGTCCCCTTCAGATACCCAATTCCAACCCTTATATTCGCTCTCTGGTACATCCTCCCTACTTGTCACCTTGCATTATCCATCCACGTAAAAATTTATTACTCCACATGTCTCAAACTACATTGCATATTTACTATTCACATGATCAAGTTTCATTCGTTTTTTTCCTTATTTTCGCTAGTCGTTTGATAAAGTAATATAGACTTGTTGCCGCTGGTTTTGTAAATCTTTGATGCACAATAGTTTTTCGATGAAAATTAAAAGAAATAACGTTAGCCGCATATATTCCTTTAAAAGGAAAATGTATAAAAAAATTGTTAATTTTATCATTGAACACAAAATAAAAATAATGTTTGTAGTTTAATATATAGTGTACCTCCAAATGGTCTCCATCTGAGGGAGCTACAAAAACGTTGCCTTGACTTTTAATTGTAGGGTTTGAGCTGCCACCAATGGCATACTCATGCCACCCACTGGGGTAGTAATTGTTCACCACCTCGAAATACCCTTGCCTACATCTATACATACCAACAAAAACAAACAAAACAAAACAAACAAAAATGTTAATTCCCATGAAATATAAGTCTAATATAATTTAAAAAAGCACTCTTTTAAACATCCTAATTAGGAGTGTTGATACTATAAATATAATGCACACATTATTTTTTGGCATTTTGCATTATTTTTTGGCATGCATTATGAATTCGGTTTTGGTATAAAAAATATTGGAGCCCTTGTTTTTTTTAAATATATGAAGCATGGATTAGAAAAAAAGTTGGAAATTTTAAGTAAATTGGACATTTTCGGACATAAATTTAATAGGGTCCACAAAATTATTTTTCCAAAATAATTATGGACGATTAATCTCGTAAGTAAGACGAACGTCTTGACATATGACACGTCATAAACGGTGCTCGGGTGAATGAGAAATTAATTCTCAAAGTTGAATACTAAGGTAGAGTAAATGCCTTTGTCCCACACCGGTTTCTAAACCTTTCGTATTCTCATATTTAAGCTTAGGCATTGAATTGAGCTTATGAAAGGAACAAGAAGAGGACTCCTCGCGCGCCCGCCGCCGCCGCCGCCCGTCCGGCTTGACGTGCGCGCAGCGGGGTGCGGCGCGCTTGCGGCGGGG